TTCTCTGTTTTAGTCACGAATGACGACAGCATTACCTAGTTTATTTATGAGAGGAAGCCAAAACTCAGTAAATTTGAACTATATAGGTATCTCTTTAGAACAAAAGATAACCTTGAAGCTTTGATTCCACTTTTTTTTTTTTAAATTTACTGTCAGCAGCTTGGAACAAATAAATAAGTGTTCAATGAGGTTCAAGGTGAACTGAATGTCCATCAAAATCCATATCAAATTGCTTGTCCTATGATGTTCTCCTTTGTTTCTTTTAATTTCCAGTGAGCTAAAATTATTTGGTTTCCTAAACATGAGCCTGAAGATTTCTGCAAAACCGTTCTGAGTCAATAATCTTATTTTCCTCTGTGTGAAATGATTTTAGCGATAAAGTCTAGGGAAATTGGTGTATATATTTATAATTTCAGTGTCCCATCGTTTGTGGGCCAAATCTGTTCAGAAGTGACTCATAGCTGTGCACCTTCCCCCTTCTCCCAGACAATAGATTTATGAAACCCCGCGCCATCAGGTTTCAAGTCGCAGGAGAAGGCATGCTATCCCACAGTGGGTCAGGAGAGAGTCGTCACACAGGGCATCCTCACAGAACAGGCTACTTTGAGACACACCGGCTTTGTTGGTGAGCATGTTCTAAAAGAAAACATTCATTTTAGACTGGTCTGTGTGCCTTAGTGTCTCTTGTGTCGGAAGAGAAGAAACTTTTCAAGGTTTGACTGCCCGCCTCTGTTTGCCAGAGATTGGATGGGAAATTTTGCCTTGGAGCGCCATCTAGGGGAAATTTTTCAGCACACTTAGTGCATTCTCTTGGTGTTGTGATGGAGACTGAACCAGATGGTGGGGGTATAGTCTAAAGATTTCCTTCTTTCTTTCTTTCTTTCCTTCCTTCCTTCCTTCCTTCCTTCTTCCTTCCCTTCCTTCCTCCTTCTCCCTCCCTTTCTGTTATCTCTCTCTCTCTGTACATATACTCAGTTTAAATGTGGTTATGCTACTTAGAGCAATAACGCTCTCTCAGGATTCTAACAATCCCCCCAGGGCCAGGCATGGGAAACTTCCTCTTGAGTTCCACCACCAGGTGTATGTGGGGGAGTCGAAGAGACTAATGCAGCCTATTGCTATTGCTTTTGATTGCCTCCCAGAACGTGTAGTATGCAGTCTCTCAACTGCTGTTGAAGCTACTACATACTTCTGATGCAGCACTCGGAGGAATTGAGCCAGAAGTGACAAGGAAGCCTGCGCCCTGAAAACCAGCTCTCATAGCCTCTAAGAGGGCTACATAAGTTGTCAAAACACAAACACCAACCAACAGTCCCATCTAGCTGGTAAAACTCCTAACCCCACAATGCCCAGAATGTGGCAAAATATCCCCAAGGGTGTGATAGTGGCGCTGATACCTTGGAGGTAACCAACAGCTGCCTACTTGGATTTCTGTCCTGCTCAAGAAGAGGGAATTCATGTTTGGTGCTGTAAACCTAGCCAACTTCCCATGGCTGGCGAGGTCATAGGCCCCAGAGGAGAGCCTAGTATGGCTGCTTTCCCAAATGGTTATATTTCCTAGCAGTATTCTAAGCATGTGCTCTTATCCCCACAGGGTCAGCTCTCACCCGCTCCCCCATCGAAAAAGCCTCTTTTTGCAGCAGATGAAGATTGTTAGATGAAGATTATTCAAGAATCCACAACTGGTCAAAAGGCTGAAAGCAACAGACCACGGTGTGTCCAACCACAATGGATATGTCTACAACTCCTCCACCTAAGGCTCAGGGAACGTCTTGGAAGTCGGAGCAGAATGATTGTAAGAGTCAGAGGACCAAGAAGTCTTCTCTGAGACTGTGCCTTCTATATACGGCAGGGAAGCTACACCCATAAAATATCAACGAGACCCGTGTAATGACAACACTTGTTGACGTGCCCCCGTGGATGGGGAAATTTCACAAGGCCCCACTCCTAGATGAAGAGCAACAGGCAGTTAGTGGCTTCTGAGAGAGGAAGAATCCATCTTCTCCAGCAATGAGCTCCCAATTATCCAATCCCAGGAGGTCAGCCCTAAACATATACACATAGTGACAATACCAGGTGGGCCCAGAAAACTGATATACAATCATAATTAGTTGTGTAAATTATAATTATGCAACTACAGAAGAGGAGGTCATGAGTTGGAGAGGGAGCAGGGGGCAAGGGAAGTGTTAGATGGTGACAAGGAGGTGCAACTTGTGTAAGTTGAAAATGTGTGAAATTGCCCCAAAATTAAAAGTAAAATAAAAAAAAAATGATGCCAAGTTGGGATGAGGAGGAGGGGAAGCATATCTGATAGAGCTAGTTCCAGGACAGGCTCCAAAACCACAGAGAAACCCTGTCTCGAAAAAACAAAAAAAAAAAAAAAAATAAATAAAATAAAATAAGAATTAGGAAGGAGTGAGAAGTGGATATATTCAAAATACATTGTATGTATGCTTGAAAATTCTCAAAAATAATAAAAAACATGTTTTAAAAAGAAGTTCAAGAGCATTGTCAGCTACATGGCTTGTTTAAGGCCAGCCTGTGCTACATGCCTTGCCTCAAAAAAAAAAAAAATCCAGATTAATAGAAAAGTTTGGTTTTGGCTTTAACTTCCCACCCAGAAGTAAAATGTGTGATCCTGTGAATGGAGGCAGGATGTCCAGTGCAAAGGAACTCGTGAGAGACCTCAGGGGACTGCAGGGCTGAGTGCAGCTCTGGGGCCCACACAGACATAAAGGCTGTCCTTTCCCACAGGAGATCATACGTCAGAAACTAGATTTGAAGTGAACTTGGTCTGCATAGGTCAAACAGTCTTCACCATCTCCAGAAGTGCTGTCTTGATTCAAAAAATTTGGCTTAACCAGACTTTCCAAGATCAAAGCGGGAGAAGATGCTTGTGTGGAAAAAAAACAGGAGTTAGCATTTCAGCCCCGCGTAATCCTTCACTAAGTTCAGCGGAACCCTGGAGCAGAAAGCAATGACTCTTCCAGATGCCACGGCACAGGTCTGAGTGCGGGAGACTGGAATAATATCCGCTGACATCCTCTCTCCAAAGACCCCTTTCTGTACTTCGCAGCCTCCCGCCCGTCGCCCTGGGAGAACTCCAACAGTGAAGGCTTCTATTTTTGCATCAGCATGGATACAAAAACAAAACCCAGACTTTTCCTAACAGTGACGCTCTCCAAGTTGCTGAGCAAACACAAACACCCTTAAAATACTCTGACAGGACGATGCCCCCAAACATGGAAGATGGGGCATAGCTGGAATGCTTTGCTTTTTTTTTTTTAAACACTACTTAAGAAGCATCAAGACTGCTGATACCACGAACACGTTCAGTGATGAAAGCTCAATATTCAATCCTTTCTACACCTGCGGCTGCACCATGACCCTCCCACCCCCACGCCGCTGCTGCCAGATGCCTGTGTCCCCAGAGGCTTGTCATAAAAAAAACCACCTTGATATCTACAACACAGTATCACGAACATTTCTATTTCCTTTATCTGCTTGCTTATTTTGAAAATTCCACAAATCCACAGGTTTTCCAAGGTAACTGGTTAATAAGTCATTGCCCTCAGCGAGCTGGACTCGTGAGTTCCCCACCTGCAAACTATTTCTCGTCTGCTAAGCTCTGTTAAAGTTGAGCAAGATGAAGGTGTTTTGGTTTCCAGGCAGTGTTGGCCACTGGGCAAGTAAGCCTCTCGAGCCGAAACATTTCCCCTCCGTACTCTTGGCTCTGATGGTGTAGACAGCAGAAGGCAGGACCAGTCCCGCGGTTGAGAGCTGACCCAGCGCACGGCAGAGGACGGGTGTGCTGGAATGTAGAGGCTGGGAACACACGTGCTGAAGGAGTAAGGAACTGTCCCTTTCCTCAGGTGGAATTAATGAGAAGGAGACATTGGGAACTTACGACACTTGCTAGAAACACCGCCTACACTGGTACAGTGGAGGAGGAAGGAATGGCTGGTGTTTTAGGAGAACGAGGAACTCTGTAGAAAAACTGGCATTGAATCAGTACCTTCAAGGTTGGGGGGGCGTTTAATGGGCAGAGAGCAGGGTGGAGATTCAGATGAAGAGGTAGGATGTTCTGTCATCATTTGCATTTCTCACAGAAGTCCCTAATTCGTGTCTAAATTTTAAGATGGGTACAAAGACATGAGGGATTTGTATTAATGTTGTAAGAATCCGGAACCCATCCCCCATTTTTTGTATAGTAAGCATATTTATATATATTCAGAATGTGTACATATCTAAACTTGTCTATGTTCCTATTCAGCAGAGAACCTAACATACTGAAATCAGGAACACTTTCCTTGGTCATTTAGCAATGCAAGTAGGCACCAGAAAACGTTTCTCACTAGCAAATGGGAATAACTAGAGGGCTTTGTTTTGATCCTTGCCATCAACATTTGCTTTCAGAGTTAATCCTCGAGGCCTTTTCTGGCCAGCTGTGCCGGTCTTCTCGACAAGTCACACGGGCTAGAAGCCAGGGGACAGATAGTTTCAGCGTAGTGAGCTTCTGAACCTGGGTGTCCACTCCTCTTACCCCTTCCTTCTCCCTAGGCCCCACTGGACATTTCCCCAAGCAAGTGTTCTTTCAGAATTCCAGATTCTCACGGTCATGCCCACACCCCCTCTCAATCTTATCCAGGGGGTTCTTTGCCCTGTGACGTATCTCTATTTCCTCCACAAAGAAATTACATAGAAAGTCCAGGTGTTAGGGGCAGGGAGTAAGGTTGGGCAAAGGAACTAGATTGCCAACAGAGAACACTGGGAAAAGGCCCCAGTCTCCATTCTAGGGCTGCACCCCTGTCTTAAGGTGTTGATGCTTTTGTGGCTTTAAAGAAGCTGTTGTCAAATGTATGCAACCATAACCAGGACATGTGTGGGTTGCCATGACATCACCACGGGGAAACTTTTCAGTGGCATTGAAATATACAGGAGAAAGCCAGGAGGTCCGCACGAAGAGAAGGTGGCCTTCCGCCATTCACAGATGTACTTACGGTGAGCATGGCAAACATTAGCTGGCACACATTGAAGGCATGTCTCCAGTTGTGGTAGAGAACCATTCGGTAATTCTTCCTCACTGTCAGAAGCCACCTGCACAGGGTCTGAAATGGGAGGGGGAGGCTGTGTGAGGGACGGGTTTGTGTCCTCAGAGGACTACCATTTAAGGGACACCAAGGCCATCAGGACGTTCCACCAGGGACTGGGCAGGTGGCTGAGTTGTTAAGAGCAACTATGGTGCTGGTGGCAGATCGGGGTCTGGTTCACAACTTTACCTGGAGTATGAGGGTGTTCTGTGACCTCTTCTGACCCCCCCCCCCCGGGTCCTAGGCATGCACGCAGTGCCCACACTTACACACAGGCAAAACACACAACACAAGACAAATCTAATAAAGACATTTTAACAAACCAAAACAAAACCCTAAACTTCCACTAACACTCTTCCAGATTGTTGCGGCACTTCCATGGGGTCCACAGGCAGAGGAACCACTGCCTACAGAGCATCTTTGAAAAAGCCTTTATATCACACTGGCTGCGACACTTCGCCAGGGGCACCCCTTAGCTCCATCACAGAACCTCTTACCTCGTAGTCGATTTTAAATTTCTGTACCATGCCCAGCTCCATGAACATCCGGAGGGCAGCTGTGATCATGGCGTCAACGTCAAGGGAAAAGTCATCAAAATGAATGTCGTCGATGGCCAGCTCTGACACCAGAGGGATATTGGCTGCCTACGGAATCAAAGACACAAGCCAAGCCAAGTTCACTAGCTTTACCTAACCCCGTGTCCCACTCTCTCTGGCTTATCGGCGATGCCACATAAATCAGGCCTGACCTGCACTTACTCCCTGATACGGCTAAACTCTGAGCTATAAATGTCTTTTGTTTCTGAGCAGCAAATGCCCAAGAAAATGGAGTGGGGAGGGAGAGAAGGGAAGCTAATTAGAAGATAAAATATACACACTGGATCTCTCTACCGAATTTAGAATATACAACTGTCTAGTTTACTGGAACTATGGCCGTACAATGTACTCTGATGCATATTGCTGCGTGCAGAAACATCTGGGTGGCCAGCAGCTATGAATTTTATTTGCTTCCATGCGGAACAGGACATGTGAATACACCGCTCTTCTTTGCATTCTTGTATCCCGTCCCTTTCAAAAATACTCTCTATTAAACATATGTTCTATATATTCAGAAGGACGGAAAAGGGCAAACAGCTCATCTCTGGTACAAAACATGCTGCATTGATGATAAAATAGAGCTGCTCAGAGAGAGGGCAGTTTCAGTTAAAAGATCAATTTTGTTATATTGCTTAAGCAATAGACGGCACACTTCTAACACTGGTCATCCTTATTTAGAGTTTCCGAACACTCCTGTTAGGTGGCTGTCAATCAGTTATCCTGCACAAGCCTAAAGGAGAGGGAAACCAAATCTTTGGAAATCATTTTTATGCCAATTGGCTGGGTTACCATGCCATTTGGGCCATTCTTGCTGTGTGTGTGGGTTATTTAATGGCTTTCAAGTTACCAGAGACCATTGTGTATTTGTATTCCTAGTCTATTCTCTGGGTATAAATTACCCTGCAAGTAATTTATGCCCTGGAACTACTTTGGCTAAGCAATTAAACCCAGCTCTGGTCACTCCGGGCATTCCAGAAACCACATAATCAATCCTGCCTCTCCAACCCCGTGCTTTTCTGCAAAAGTTTATGTGCCTAAGCTAAAAATACAAACACTGTTTATTCCCCACTGTGGATGAGCGATGACCGAATCTATGTGTTGGGACAGCTAAGCTTCCAGTTTGAAGACTTTAATTCAATCAAAAGTTAATTCCCTTGGACTTTACCAAATCATTTTAAAATACCAATAGGTTTGCAGATACTGGATTCCTGGAATTAAATGGCAAGGCTTGTGGACTTCACAGTGGCAGATATCTTCTTGGTGTGTATGTGTCCCCACGAGAGTGTCCTGCTTGTTTACTTACTTTAAAACTTTTTCATAAAAGTTAGATAAATCTACATTAGTTTTTTAAAAATAAGTGTACAAAATAACAGATTTTGTTGGGAATGTCACACATGCATGTCAAGTATTTTGCTCAAAGTCCACCCCTTTCCCGTCTCCCTCCCTGTTAGCCCTGCTCCTCTCCATCAGTAGTCCCATTTCCATGTGATGTCACACGTGTATTTGAATATATATCCCACATATGAGCGAGACCACACAATATCTGCCTTCCTGAGTCTGGCCTATTTTATTTAGCATGCTGGTTCCCAGATCCATTTTATTTATCTATTATTTATTATGTCTGTCTATTTTTGCTTCAAGTGACACAATTTTATTTTTCTTTTGGCATTTTTGTGTGTACCTGTTTGTGTGTGAGTTCACACACACACAAGTGTGTGCATGTGGTAGCCAGAGGTTGACACTGTGTCTTTCACTCTCCTCTCCACCTTCCTCTCTCTTGAGAGAGGGCCTGTCACTCAATTAGAACTCATCAGTTGGCTAGGATGTCTGGCCAGTGATCTCCAGGGATCCCCCTGTCCCCTGTTTGTGCCAGCCGCAGCACTAAGGTTACAGAGGCACACAGCATTATGTGGGGGCCAGCCGTCTGAACTCAGGTCCTTATGCTCCCACAGATACCACTTATCCACTGAGCCATATCCCAGCCCAACTTCTTCCTTCCTTCTTCCTTATAACTGCACAAACTCCATGCCATCGTCTATCACTGTCTTTAGGAACCACACTTTATTTAGCTGCCATTCTGCTGCCAGACACTTAGGCTGATTCCATATTTTGGCTATTGTTAATAGGGTGGCAATAAAAACTGATGCATTTGGATCTCTGCAGGATTAAACATGTCAGGGCTGAATGCAAATCAGCTCCACCATGCTTTACAAACACAGACACACAGTCATATTCCTCTGGCAACAAACGTTTTCTTACCCAGAGCAACCACTTTCAACACCTAGATTTATTTTAATCAAGTAAGATGGTTATAATCTTATTACTTCTTACAATTGCTTTGTTTGAAGAATTATCCAAGACCCCCACCGTTGAAGACAATGGTCAGTCTGACTCATGCTACATCTAACAACCTCTGCTGCCTTATGCACTAGACCATTTCATACATGCCTGCATGCCTACATACGTACATACATACCTATATTCATACTTTGTTTTGTTAGGTACTATTCAACAATTATACCATTATGCACACCTGAGAGATATTCATAGTTAACTCATACAATTTACTATGACCACCTGTCAATTCGTTGACCTCATTTTAAATTCTATGGTAGGGTTAGTAGTAGCTTGTCAGTCTCTCAATGGAGCAAACGCTGGCCTCGAACTCCCTCCTGAGTGCTGGAACTAGTTATGTGCTGCCATGTTGGGATAACAATCCTCTTTACTGTGAACTTTGTTATCACCTATGTGCTTACCATTGGTGCAAACTTCTTGTCAAATAAATTGGTAGAGAACTTATTAATGACAACACTGTCTCCTTTGAAAATGTTAGATGTGTAGATGGATGTTTCTGTCCTGACAAATATCACAGCTGTTCAGTCCCAAAGAAATACACAGAGGCTTATTAATTATAATCTGTTTGGTCTATTAGCCCAGGTTTGTTATTAACTAGCTCTTACTTAAATTAACTCATAACTTTGTCTATGTTTAGCCTTGTGACTTGGTACCTTTCCTCAGTCAGGCATTCTCATCTCATTTTCTCTGTGTCTGGCTGGTGACTTGCTCTCTGACTTTTACCTTCCCAGAATTCCCTTAGTCTTGTTGCCTCACCTATACTTCCTGCCTGGCTACTGGCCAGTCAATGTTTTATTGAACTAATATGAGTGTCAAATCTTTACAGTATACAAGAACATTATCCCACAGCATAGGTGCTTTGATCAATATGGATGTCATGAAGAGATGGCTCCAGGTTCCTGCTCTGACTTCTCTAGATGAGGGACTGCAGCCTGTAAGGTCAAATAAGTCCTTTCCTCCCCAAGTTGTCTTGGCCAGGGTTTTACCACAGCAAGAGAGAAACAACCAGGACACTACTCTCACTTCTCTGAAGATGGTAATGACAGTCCCATTGGGCATTTCTTCTCCTTCTCTATTTGTTTTTGACACCACTCTGCTTTGATCTTTGTTCTTACGGTGACAGAAACACATATGCTAATTTACACAAAGACTCAAGCTAACAGAATTATTAGATACATGTATATTATTGTATAGTAGACCTCTAGAACTTTTCATCCTGTGTAATCATACCCACTGAGCGACTTCTATGATCCCATCTCAGCTTTTAGCAGCCATTGTGCTGTTTTTGGTTTCCATGTGTGGTTGCTCTGTGTACACAGGGAGCCGTGCAGTATTGGTCTTCATGGCACTGGCTTGTTTGACCAGCATGTTGCTGTCTTCACTTTAAGGACAGTAGGCCAAGGAATGAGCACCCACCACCCTTTCCCTTTATTCTCAGATGGCTCAGGGTCTTCCTCAATTACCCTCCAGTAAGGGAGTTTAAGGTATCAGAGGCTTCAGAAGTCCTGGAGGATTTCCTTGGGTGTCTGGTAATTTTTGGTTTCCCAGTCTTGCTTAAAAGAGTCTATTACAGCTTAGAGGTTACCCTGCTGAGGAGTTGAGTGACCTGTTTTCTTGGGGAAGCCTCCTCATGTCTTTGCTGTTTATCAGTTCCTGTTCCCTGGAGAACCTGGCTGGTATCTAGTTGGGAGTCTGTAGGGGGCGTCTGGGGAGCCTCAGTGTGGAACTGTTTGTTCATCTTCAGCCCGCACCCCATCCCTCCTCTGCACAGATGGCCCCTGTGCAAAGATTTCCCTGCTCTACCTAACCAAAGGCTAACTTCCAGGTACCAGGGAGCGGGACCGGGAGCCTGGATTCAACTGCCCTTAGACATGCCGCTTTTTCTGGTAGCAGTCCGGCTTTCGTGGTCACTCAGAGCCAGCTCCCGAGCTGTTTGTGGGGGGGGGGGGGCGGGGGAGCGGAGATTAGATAGTGTAAAGATGACCAGCCTGGTCTACAAGAGCTAGTTCCGGGACAGGCACCAAAGCTACAGAGAAACCCTGTCTTGAAAAACCAAAAAAAAAAAAAAAAAAAAAAAAAAAAAAAAAAAAAATATGACCTCTCACCTCCCATTGCTAGCTGTTTTGACTTTCTTGGGTTTGCTAAGTTAAATCCCATTTATCTGTCTGTTCTCTAGGTTCCAAAGTGTTGTCGTTAGTAACTTCTTTCTCAATTTATTTGGCTTTGAGAGTTGATACAAAATCCTCTATGACTATTTTAAAAGGCCTAGGAAGGGAACAAAGAAAACAATGAGGATGCTTAAGTGACTGTTTTAATCTGGAAATCATCAAATGCTGCTATTAAATGATACACTTTAATGGACAACTTGGGAACTCAGAAGTAAGCCGGATTTAGTACTCAGTCTCTTTTAACACATACTACTGGCGGCGGCCATGTGTATCGTGCCTGCGTGTTCAGTGCGAGTGACCACGCTAATCAGGCCGTGATAACCAACAAATACCACACTGCTCCTCCTTCAGAAAGCTCCAGAACAGCTCCGCTCCCCTCCCACTTTGATGGTTTGCGTATAGAGGATGCCAAGTGTTTGAAAACATCTCTATTTGTTGCAATTTGTTCAGATTTAAGAACAATCAGAAAACTGCTTCCTGAGAGACAAAGGCAGGATGCAAAATGACACAGGTCTTTCTGCTCTC